CATTCCAACAACTGACATATTTACATCCCTCTACACATTTATATCCATTTCTTCATATAACACTGCTGAAATTTTACCTGCAGGAGGAGATGGAACAGAAGCTTCTGCAGAAGGCCTACTGCTGGGTGAAGACAGAGTCTTGGCACCTCTCAGAGGCCGCTGTGCCTTAGGGGACATGCGGGAAGGGCCTATTTTTTTTTAAAGATAGAGGAAAAAAGGCAGAGTACCTGCTATTACATTATCACCAATGCATAATTCTTCCAACCCACCTAAACCCTTTCAATTATCCTTCTCTTCTCCTTACCGTCCCCTTTCCCACCCTCTCAAGTCTGTTTCATAACTCACTCACCTCCATTGATACCACGTGTCTCAGAACCTGGGCCAGGGCTGCTATTGTCAAGATGGTGAGGGCCACGAGGCGGCAAAGAGCTAAGGCCAGGTCGGCCGCCCCGGGAACTACTGCATCGAACGCCTCCCCGGGGACCTTCCCGAACTCTCTGGGGTAGAGGGATATACTTTCCCTCCCTAGGGGGAGAGGGGTCAAATAAGGTTAAGAAGCCACAAAACCCACACATTTTGGCAAGATGACACCCTTCCTTCCAAAGTCCACTTCCCGTCCCAACACACACACCATGCCTAGCTGATGCTTCACAATTCTACCACTCCTGACCTCTGAGAAGGGTCGTATCACATTGTAATTCAAGGTGCAGCTTTTACAAGATACAGATCATCACGTACAGTTTGATTTCATTTTCATAAAGGGAAAAATAAGCTATATATATATATATATATATATATATATATATGGATGCATATGCAGAGGAAAAAATAATAAAGATATCAAAACTCTGAAAATTTTTCTTCTAAATCCCTAAGCTTTACCCTTGTTACCTCAGGTAAATTAGTTACCTGCTCTGGCCTTTAATCTTCTAAACCTAAAAACTGGGACTAAGTATGTTTTAATCTACATCTTACATGGCTGTGAGGCTTAAACAAGAGCGTACAAAGCTCTTGGCTGAATTCCAGGCCCACAGGGTGAGCCCCAATCAGACAGAGGCTGCTCCCAGCAATTACCTAGATGCCAAGCTGGGGCTCTCTCGTCCTGAACCCTGCCGCTGGACCGCACTGTGCTTCTCCTCTTCAGTGCGCCCATCATCGTTCTCCATGGCAATCCGCAGGCGGTACTGAGGGCTCGATTCAATCTCTCGAGCCAACTGGGCCGCTCGTAGCTCCCGCTGACGAAACTCTTCTGAGTTGTCCTTCTCTAAGGGCACCCTGAGAGGACCACCACCATCCCAGTCCAAGGGGGAAAAAGGAAAAATATTTCTATCAGTTCTATCACCAGCGCAGGCATGCGAGTTTTTAACCCCTTCAACAACTCAGCATATATTTAATGGGCATCCACTGAATCCCAGGCAGAGCAGAAAAACATCTCTGAATATGAGAACACTTGGACACGTATGTAAGTATGTTTTAAGTTCTAGAGAAAAACTATGGACAGAATGACAAGAAAGCAGCTAATTCTACCCGAGATGGCCTGGAATCAAGATTAAGAGAAAACCTTTGAGAGAACAGTTCACAAGGCAGTCAGGAGTAAGCAGAGGGCAAGCTGTATCCCCAGAAAAGCATGAACAAACGCTATGTTCCACCTAGACATCTGCCTTCTTTTGGTGACCCCATGCCCCAAACTGTACCAACTGAGAAGTACCAAGACACTCACGTATAAGAAGAGAGACTGCTGTCATAGGTAGTCTTTACACCATAGTTTTCCTCATTGAACTTGAACATTTCATTGGGATCCCATCCATTGGACTAGGAACAGAAGAGGGAGACTATTTTAAAACCCAGCAAGGAGGGGCTGGCCCCATGGCCAAGTGGTTGAGTTTGTGCACTCTGCTTCGGTGGCCCAGGGTTTCGCCAGCTCGGATCCTGGGCACAGACATGGCACTGCTTATCAAGCCACGCTGAGCTGGCATCCCACACAACAGAACTAGAAGGATCTTTACAACCAGAGTACACAACTACGTACTGGCAGGTTTTGGGGAGGAGAAAAAGAAAAAAGACTGGCAACGAATGTTAACTCTGGGCCCATCTTTGAAAAAAAAGAAAGAAAGAAAACCCAGCAAGGAAAACGATGACCAATTATCATTCTCCTCCATCAAGTTGAAACACTTAAAAATCTGACCAAACCAAGAGTGGAAAAATAGAACATGCCTGGTAGGAATATCAAATAATACTACTGACTGCAGCACAAATTGGCAATAACTACTAAAACCAAAGTCTTAAGACCAAACAAGTTCATTTCCAGATTTGCATCCCAGAGAAATTCTGGCGTATGTGCCTGGGGATATGCTTTCTAAAAATTCAATAAGGCACTATTTTTAATAGCTAAACAATAGCAACAAAACACCAACTAGTAAAGGGATAAATACAACCTGATGTGTATACACGTGTATGTATATAAATAGAACAGTACACAATACTTAAAAGGAGTAAAAACTAGATCTATGTATGAAAATGCAAAAATTCACAAACAAAAACTCAGAAAAGTAAATTCTTAGGCAAATCAAACATACCAAAATAATAATGCATTCACTCATGAAGAAATTTTAAGTGATTCAAAGTAGCTGTTTTGGGGACAGGAAATGGGCCTACATGGTACTCAAACTAGTCTCTAATTTTGTTAAATTGAAAAAACAAACAAACAAACAAAAATCAATTTGAAGCAAATGTTAATAGCTGAAAATCACAGATGGTGTGCAGAGAATATATATTTTTGTTTTGTTATTTTCTGTACCTTTCCATCTGGAATCTGACTACCACCAACAGGTAACAGTACAAGATCCAACACTCACCCACCACCGCCCCCTTAGAACTCTTGGTTCTAAGAATGAGAACAACCCACACTCCGGCAGCAAAGCTGCCCAGCTCTCAGGTTCTCAGGGAAGGAGACTGTACCATGTCAGACTCGAGGTCGTAGTCATCGCTGTTGCTGTCACCCCCCTCCCAGCGCTGAAGCACCTTCTCTTTGTGCTCCCCATTCACCTTCGAGTTCATGGCAATGGCTGAATCAGTGAACTTGTCTGTGGGGGCAGAGTTGAAGATAACACGTCAGGTGATATCTCACAGCCTTATTTCCGACATCCCTCACCCCCTACACGTAGATCAGGAGCAAAGAAAAGTTTATGTGTGTCAGGGTTGAGGGGGTGGCGTGGGTGAGTACAGCATAAAAAGCTTCATCTTATGAGTTCAAAAGGAGCAAGGAGTTGTTGAAAACAAATCAAGAAAAATATGAAGAACCACAACATAGGCTGGAATTCATCCCACTGTATCTCAGACATCAAGACATATTCTCAAGAAGAAAAATCCAGCCAACTTCCTTAGGAAAAACTAAGACGGTAAAGGGGCAAAACCAAAAAACAAAACTTAAGTCCTCATGTAACTGCTCTCTGCCCTCTACTCAGAGTGGGTCTGACATAACAGCCTGGCACAGTACCTTTAGTAGCATAATTGAAGTCAACATTTCGGAAGTGGACAAGCATGACATCACTTGGCTTAAACACCATGGTGTCCACAATGTCTTCCCGACGAGGGCCACCTACTGGCTCAGATGCTTTCCGGTGCACAGCGTCTACTGCTAGTTCAAACTATAAAAGTCCCATTTCCCAACACCCAAGGGTCAGTATCAAGAAATTTGGAGGCAAAAAAAGGCTATTTTTCTCTTACCCTTTCTAAACTTTTCCCAACATCACATTCTCATGTACACTGTCTTCTCAACATCAGTCACAGGACTTAGCAAAAGTCTCAAGTTCAAAATTGTACATTTTTAAATTTAAGCATTCTAACTTTAAAGTACCCAGCCCTCAAATTTCATGCCTTTTACTGCTTGCAGCACCACTCCAGCACAGGCCTAAAGAAACGAGTAACAGCCACAGTGTTCTCCAACACCACTCAATTCACATCTTCAATGAGCCTATTTCATTCTCCTCCTCCTCCTTCCATGCAACTCCCAAGATAAGCTAACTTGAATACACTGACCTTTGAGCTCAAAGTCTTGAAGATACCTTCATAGGTGGCACCATTCTTCACCTTTACATCACAGGTGGAGCCCTGGGAGAGTGGGGAAAATCAGAGCGTCTTCAGCAAACTGATGCATTACATTCCTCAACCTAGGGGTTAGGTACCCACTTACCACAACAGCTGTAAGGAAATGCAGCATTCTGGAATTGTTGTAGACACCCTCAAACACCTGTCAGTAACACAGGAGAGAGAAATAAAGGAACAGTCAGGCAACATCTCACCTCCTTCTAGATACCCACACTCCACTCACACCCACCTTAGATGTGCTGGGCCCCCTTCCCTTCTGAGCACCTGTGCCTATTTCTGCACCTACTCTGTCCTATATTCCCACATACACACTTTCAGGTCTCTGTACCTCAGAAGAGGAAAAAAGCACTCACCGGTGACTGTGGGGGTCCCTTTCCTGTGCTTTGTCCCCTATAAGAGAAACAAGAAACTAGTAATTTAAATATGTTCAATTCCTTTCATGTGATACCATGTAAAGATGCTGGTTTAGACCAAAAACCAATTAACCAACAAGATTTTCAAACTCTCACCTTACAGAGGAAGAAACGTGCAGGCATTAAAAGCTAGTAAACACATTTCCTCCAAATCCGAGTAAAACAGACCTCAATCAACAACCGTTGTCAATTGCTTTAAGAACCAATTCAACACAATCTTCTCACTTTCTCCAAGGGACCAGGGCTACATGCTTCCAACAGACCAATACTACAGTATTCGGTAACCAATAAATCAGCCCAGATGTAAAGGTGGAAAAGCTCAGGGAGCGCAGAGTCGGAACTACCTAGCTCAGACACACAAACCTCTCACAGAGAAAAGACCATCATTTTCAGTAGCCCTATGCCCCAAACCCTGGGAGGAGAGTCCTCCCTCTACAACCCACCCTCTCAACTTCTTTACTCATTCAGTCTGCTACCCACTCTGGGAGGGGTCATCGATCGCCCGGTAACCCTACTCCTCGCTGGCTGATGTAACCAGCGGTTGAGGAGGGCGACGAGGGGGCCGTTGGCGGGGCTGGGGGACAGCGCAGCCGCAAAAGCCATCCACCGGGAGGCCTCGCCCGATCTGAGCCTGCGCACTAAAGCCCACGGGCCTCTTGAAAACCTCCCCTCCCGCGATCAGAACCCAATGCGCCTGCGTGTACCACCGCTCTCAATTCTATTAACCCACACACAGAAGAAACTGAGCTGGGTGTCCACCACGCCTCCGCGACCACTAGGCAAACCCTTCCATGCACACTTCCAGCCCTTCTATATTTTCCCGGGGCTCGCGAAAGCCCGGCTCATAAGAGAGCATCCGCGCGCACGTACGGGAAGAGCGCGCGCGCGCTGGAGGTTACCGACCCGCAGTCCTTCCAGTTGTCCCTCCTTCCGTCCCCCCGCCCAGCCCGCTCCCTTCCTACTGGTCAGACTGGGAAGGGGGAGGTAGCAACCCGCTCCCAAGTCCCTCCCTCCCCATTGGCCAAACTGTGGCCCGCGCGCCCCCCTCCATTGGCTACGGCCGGAGACCCCTTCCAGCAGCTGACTCCCCATTGGCTGAAGCGGGGGACCGCGAGACCCTTCGCGGTAATGGAGCCAGGACCCCGATCACCTCTTTGCCCCCCCAACTCCTCGCTCCAAGGGCGCTGACGGGATGCGCCCCGCCTCCCCTTAAGGCCTGGGCCCGAGTCCTAACTAGGCTCTGAGAACTGAGCACGGCCCTTAAGTGCCCGGGTGGCCGCCCCGGGCCCCGGTCCCTCCGACCTGTTAGGACCTGAGGGGGCCCACCCCCAGCTTCACGGGAAGTTCCCCCACTCCCCTTGGCGCCCCTCAAAGGGAGCCAGGCTAGGGGCCCGCCTCGCGCAGTGTACCAAGCTCCCGGCCGCCGGGCCGGAACCGAGCCGCCGCCGCCGCCCTGCAGCCTCGGCTCCAGCGCCCGGAAACCCATCCTTCCTCACCTGGCGCTGCCGATGGCCGCTGCCCCTGGCCTCTCCTGATGCTGCTGCTGCGGCGGCGGTGGTGGCGGCGCCAAGATGCTCTCGGCTCCCCGGCGGAGCCCGCTCCCGGCAACGGCTGCAGGCCCCAGGCAGGGGGAAGCAGCCGCGGGAGGCCCTGGGGGAGCCGAGGTGGAGGCCAGGGGCCCCGGGAGGCCGCCGTTGGGAGGGCTGGTGCCTCCGGGAGGCCGGCGGGCCACGGCCTGTTGCGTGGGGGGCGGCTGCTGGGGCTGGGAGGTCTGTTGTGGCGGCTGAGGCTTCAACATGATGGCAGCGTCCGGAAGGGGAATTAGGGGGAAGGGTGGGAGGGAGGAGGCCGGGGCTAGGCCCCCGCCGGGGAGCGCGGGAAGCGAGGGGGATTGGGAAGCCGGCGACCCGCCGTTGGCGGGCGGGGGGAGCCCCGGGGTGTCGGGGGTGGATAGAGAAGACCGCGGCGTGAAGAAGCGCCGCGAGGCGGAAGGGGAGGGGGTCTCGCGGGCCGGAGGAAAGCGAGAGGGCGCGAGCCGGCCTGGCGCGCGTGCGCGTCGCCGGGGAGAGGGGAGGGGGAGGAACGCGCGGGCGGGAGCTCCGAAGGGGGAGGGGCGGGGAGGAGGGAGCGGCGGCGGGAGATGTCCGCGCGCACCGGGGCGGTTAGCACCGGGCGGGAGGGGAGAAAAAAAGAAAGGTGAATCTCGCGCCCCTAGTCTTTGCAGTGGGGAAGGAGCAGCGCGGGCGTTCACGCGCGCCGAGAATTTACGGTCCCTAAATCTCAAATAGCTCTAGAGGCTGACGGCCGCGGTCGCCTCACAATGAGCGTGTGAAGCGCTAGGGGAGGAGCCGAAGACGCAGAGAGGAAGGAAGAACCGGTCGCCCCGCCTACGCCGCCGGCGTAGCATCGGGATACCTCCGCAGTAGTGTGAGATGTCCGGCCGTATCGTGCATTTCTTCCGCCATTTGGGAGCCCGTGGGCGGAGTCTAAATGCAAAAAAATCCCGGGATTAGATTAGTGTTCGCGCCTCCCAACCTGGTGGTATGTTTCCTGTGGGCCCTACTGTTGACGTTATCTGCTTTGAATAAAATAAAAGACTGATGGAGATTAATCAGTTTGAGCGTGCTGATCTTTTCAGATAAATCTATGTCTAATCCTAAATTATTTTAAAGTTAAATGGTTTTACACCTAAATGATTTCTCCGTGCCGTAGGATGAACCCTTAAACTGTAGTAACAGAATAACTGAAGGCCAAAGCTCCTAGCAGTACAAAATCCTCCACCCAACTCTGCAATAAAGCCAGCCTTCATTCATTCAAAATTAGGTGGGCATTAGGACATTAGGCTAGGTGCTTTGGATCCAACTATAATTAAACCACTTCCTGCCCTTACGGAGTTCAAGCTAGTGGTAGATTCAGAAAATTCGATTAGGTGAAGCACAGGGCACTATGAGAGCACATAGGAGTGACACCTAATCCAGCATGGGTTGATGTATTTCTAGGCAGGGAGAATAAGATGTGACAAGCTAAGAAAATTTTGGCATGGCTGGAGCATACATTTAAAGAGAGAGGAGGTTAAAAAAAAGAGACTAGAGAGGTGAGTAACCTGGGAACAGATTTTAAAGAGACTTGGACATTATCCTCAAAGCATTGGGGAGCCTTTTACAGATAAATGAAGAGATCAGATTTGCATTTTTAAAGGATTACTCTTTGCAACTTGGAAAATAGAGTGGAGCAGTGGTGGGTCTGTAGTCTTAATTCCAGTGAAACTTTCAATATCTCAATCTCTCTTGACTCCAGCCATTAGCATTGGAATTCTTCCCTACCCCTCTCCCCCAAACACACACACACAGCTGGCTAAAAGTCTGCCATACTCTTTTGGAAGTATTCCTTCACCCCTGCCTCATTCCTAGCTTCAAGTGTGTTAGGTTTCCTTCCTGCGTGCTTAACCAGCACAGTACTCCACTTTATTCTAAGAACTCCCTTAATTCTGTCTTCCTGCTAGTGTCAGCTCCCTAAGGGTTGGGATCTTACTGCTCCTTCTGCAGTACTTAGCACAATGCAGACAGTCAGTTAAATACTTGTGTAGTGAAGGATCCAAGTGGTATTTTAAACACCATGTCTCCTGGATGCCTAAATAACATAGTCCAGCTTTTGCTTAGCATTACCTGCACCACCAGGTGCCATGCCACCTCTCCAGCCTCATTATGGGCACTCCATCTCCCCCACCCCACATCCTGTTCCCACACGCAAATTCTGAGTTTTAGCCCTGTTAAACTCCTATTTCCACAACATCCCTTGCCCTTGTTCAACGCTTCCTTTACACGTGCTGTTTTTTCACCTACGGTCTCATTCTATTTATTTATTTATTTATTTATTTATTTATTTATTTTTGAGGAAGATTAGCCCTGAGCTAACATCCACCACCAATATTCCTCTTTTTGCATGTGAGCTGCCACCACAGCATGGCCATAGACAAGTGGTGTAGGTCCATGCCCAGGAACCAAACCTGGGCTGCCAAAGTGGAGCATGCCAAATTTAACCACTAGGCCATGGGGGCTGGCCCTGGAATGTTGTGTCATCATATGCAATTTAGAAATTATGTCACTGTGATTTGATACGGAATGATTTCCAGGATATAGTGTTAAGTGAAGAAAGCAAAGTTCAAGAGTATAAACTATGCTACCTTTTGTGCAAGGAAGAAGGAAAAATAAGAAAACACAGGGGCCAGCCCTGGTAGCCTAGTCATTAATTTTGGCATGCTCTACTTCCACAGCCCAGGTTCAGTTCCCACATGCGGACCTACACCACTCCTCTGTCAGTGGCCGTGCTGTGGCAGCGGCTTACACACAAAAAGAGGAAGATTGGCAGTGGATGTTAGCTCAGGGCGAATCTTCCTCAGCAAAATAAAATAAAATAAATGTGTCTGCGAATTTTTGCAAAGAAAAACACAAGAAAGATAAACCAAAACGTAAAAAAATTGGTTACCTATGAGGGGTAGGGAAATGAAGTTTCCTTGGCTGTTGGATGATAGTCTTGTAGAAGGAGGCACAGAGCTCTGCCAGGAGCAGGGAGACACTTCCTCAGGTATACCTTTGCAAGTCATATCAGTGGTCAACATATTCAAGAAATTAAATCTACAGAGATGGGGGTTCCTAAAATCTGAATACACACGTAAATGAACCCAACTCTGTTTTAGATGAATAAAGATAACCTACTGAAGGGGAGAAAATAAAACTAATTTAAGTAACTTTCAAGCACCCTCCATCTAAAGCAAAAACAACTGCAAACAAATCTTGAATTCTTCTTAGCAGGTTTGCTATTATGGTAAAGGCGTGGCAATTCTGAAATGATTTTGGGTGTATTGTAGGATTGAGCACATGAGTAAATATATAGATATTGTTGGGGCCAGTGTTGTCACTGGGGAAGCAGAGAGAAGCAAATGTGGAATGCGAGAAGTGAGCAAAAACTGCGTAAGATTGGATCGGAATGGGAAATATCAGTATAAAATATATGGAGAGATAGATAGATAAATTTACACATCCTTAATTCCCAGATCTTGCCTTCTAGATATCATTCCATGAAAAGGACCCCAGGTTCCTTGAAGAAAGGGCTGATTCTAGCCTGGGCAGGAGCAAGGAAGGTACCAGATGAGCTTGGAACATTTTCTTGTGCCAGAAAATAAAAGTACTAAAAAGAAATTATAAGGGCATCAAAGAGACACAGGAGCCAGCTTGAAGAAGCCAAATCTGGCACAATTTAAGCATCAAGATAAGTAAGGATAGTAATAGGATATAACCGTCTGCATAAAAGGAGAATGCATGGAGCCTATTCGCATCCTGCTAATAGTATAAACATTCATGCATACACACATAAACAGAAGAAACATAACTGGTCTGTATTCTTCAAAAATGTCCATGGCATGAAAGTCAAAGGTTGAGGAACTGTTCTGGATTAAAGGAGGCTAAACTGACTAGTAACTAAATGAAATACTTGATCCTGGGCTAGATCCAGAAAAACTTCTGTAAAAGACATTATGGGGGAAATTGATGAATTTGGAATATAAACTATAAAGTCATGCATTCTTGATAAATTTCCTGAATGTGATATCTCTACTGTACATATGTAAGAGTATATTCTTAGTAAATATACACTGAGATATTATGGGGCAAAGGAACATGATATGTGCAACATACTCTTAAATAGTTCAAATTATATATATATTCTTTTTTTTTAATTATTATTTTTTTTTTTGAGGAAGATTAGCCCTGAGCTAACCTCTACTACCAATCCTCCTCTCTTTTTGCTGAGGAAGGCTGGCCCTGAGCTAACATCCGTGCCCATCTTCCTCTACTTTTTTTTATATGTGGGATGCCTGGCACAGCGTGGCTTGCCAAGCCGTGTCACATGTCCGCACCCAGGATCGGAACGGATGAACCCCAGGCTGCAGAAGTGGAACATGCGAACTTAACCGCTGTGCCACTGGGCCAGCCCCTGTATATATATTCTTTATATACACACAGAAAGAAAATAATGAAGCCAATGGAGCAAAATGTTAACAATTGGTGAATCTGGGTAAATGTTATACTGAAGTTCTTTGTAGTAGCCTTTTAACTTTTCTAAGTTTGAAATTGTTTTCAAAATAAGGAATTTACATATAAATAAGTAAAAAATATTAGACACCCCTAAAATTAGGGAAAGGAGTAAGAATATTCCACCTAATGATATATACTGAACACCCACAAACTCATTGATAAATTAGGTGAGCAGCTTTTAGCTCTCAGTACCCCTAGGCTCACTGCATTTTATCCAGTGTCTCTGAGAAGTCATCCCAGTCTGAAGCTTAAATGATATGAGGACCCCATTCATACAAAATGATGAGGCCGTATTCCTCACTTAAGACACGTTGAGAGAGTGGCTAGGGCAGCAAGATGAGACATTCACTATGATGAAGGCCAATTCAATTACTCCTCCCTGGCACATCCTACAGGGACAATTTTTCTTCATAAAGGGCCTGAGCATTTCCCAAGAAGAGGCAACACCTGGTAGCAGAAAGACCACAGGGTATGTCCTAGGAGACAAGAACTCTAGCTCTGCCTTTGTCTCTTACTAGTGCTACCTCTGGGACCCCAGTCTTGATCTGTAAAAGGAGAAGCTGGATTAGAGGAGGGGTCCTAAACTCAAATGCATGCATGAGACAGACAGGCAATAAAAAAGAGCAAAGCAAGCAGGCACCGAGGCAAACTGGACAGCGTGTGCCTTGTCTAAACGGGACATGTGCCTCTCAGCTCCAACCAGCTTCTCCCAGGTGGGGATGTGTCCCAGAGTTGCCAGAGATTTTTATGTTTCTTAAAAAAGAAGCCAGAAGTCTGGACTGACTTAAAATTTAAGTTGAAATCTCCCAATTTTTCTTTTTCTTGGAAATATTTTGTGTGCTAAACAATGCGTGTCTGCAAGCCACCAGTGTGCAGCCGCTGAATTGGATGAACCCCGAGATCTGCTGTTCTCCTTCACCAATTAGACTGTAACCCTGCAGCCAAGGTCTTTCCAGTGCAGCCCATGCTATGGTCCCTTCTACTGCTGATAAACGTCTCTGCCATCCAAATATGGTACGTAGAGCTGCTTTAGCCTTTATCAGAAGAAGATGGGCACACCCTAGCAATGCCTTTGCAATCAGTTTAGTGAAGGAGCTCCCTTTCTGAGCATATCTTTTTTTTTTTTTAAGTTTATTTATTTTTTAAGATTTTATTTTTTTCCTTTTTCTCCCCAAAGCCCCCCGGTACATAGTTGTATATTCTTCGTTGTGGGTCCTTCTAGTTGTGGCACATGGGACGCTGCCTCAGCGTGGTTTGATGAGCAGTGCCATGTCCGCACCCAGGATTTGAACCAATGAAGCACTGGGCCGCCTTCAGCAGAGTGCAAGAACTTAACCACTCGGCCACGGGGCCAGCGCCTGAGCATATCTTTTTTTTTTTGAGGAAGATTAATCCTGAGCTAACATCTGCTGCCAATGCTCCTCTTTTTGCTGAGGAAGACTGGCTCTGAGCAAACATCTGTGCCCATCTTCCTCTACTTTCTATGTGGGACACCTACCATGGCATAGCTTCATAAGCG